GAGGGTCCCACAGGGGCCTGAGCCCCAGTTTGAGGTCGGCGGTGTCACTGTCCCTGGGGAGTGCTCGGGTCTCCACCTCACCAAAGCACGGCTCGTCTGCCCCTGCCTTGTGACAGGACGGGGCCGCTGCAGAGGATGAGGCCGGAAACAGTTTGCACACTTGCACACCCATGTGCACAGAGGACTGCTGCCTGCGCACCACCTCCTGGAGGGAGAATGGCCGCTGCCCCACCCACAATGGACTCACCCACCTCTGTGTCTGCAGTAACGAAGTAGGGTAGGTGAGCCCTGCTCGGTGCCTAGATCCAAAGTCTTAGGATGAGGACACAGCGCCCTGCAGTGCTGTCACGAATGCAAATCTGGCTCTAGTAGGGCTCAGCAGAGACAATTCTGAAATCTGGACGTGGAGTGAAATGGGGACTGGATCCACCTAGACTCCGTGGTGGCTGCCTATTCCCTGAGGCCCCAGGGGAAGCCCAGGACTGGAGGCAGTGCTGATTGCTTCTAGAGACCAGACACCAGCCCAGGGCAGATCTGAACTGGGCCAGGCCTGCACTGAGGACACGGGCTGTGTACAGAGAGTTACATGACAGCCTGAGAACAAAGCCAGAGTCTCATCCAACTGTCCATCTGTTGGGCATTCTGCTCTCCATCCCCCATCCATCCATCCATCCATCCAACAATGTAGGGAATTAACCCTGTGTCAGACATTGTGGTGGCCCTCTAGGAGCTTTTAGGGTTCAGTACAGTCTGGCAGGAGAGACAGATCACCATGAAAACACATCATTATTATCCAAAGGCAAGAGCAGAAACAAAAGTGATGATTAAAATAGACTGTTTGTATTTACATTTTTAAAAAACTACAGTAAAATTAATCCCCTTCAAAATCCTCTCTGTCATTTCTAGCACACTTACCCCATGGTTCTTGTCACTTTCTGAAGCAATTCCGGAAATCCTCTTTCCTGAGTGTCTTTATGAGAGTGATCAAGACAACATGGCAAATGCTGGGCCCAGCACCATCCAGCAAAGGCAGGTGCATAAAAACACGACGCTGCATCCTCATCCACCTTTTTCACTGACTCTGGCACCTTGTGACTTCTGGCTGTTCCCCAAAGTCAAAATGATCATGAAAGGCAAATCTTTTGAATCCATTCAGGACATGGAGGCAGCCAGGATAGTGCAGCTGAAGACACTCAGGAAAGAGGACTCCAGGGCTGCTGCAGAGAATGGCCAGAACAATGGGATAAGTGAGTTGGAAACGAGGGAGAGAAATTTGAGAGAGATTTAATGGCAGTGTGTCTTTTGCTGTAATAGAACTTTAAACGTAAGCCTTCACCATGTATTTGGATCACACTTCATATCAAAGAGAGGAAAAGCCAAGTCAGGCTGGCAGATCAAAAAGGACTTTTGGGAGGAGGTGAGAGGTCACTGGGGATGTCACTTTGCTGGGCACAAGGGGGTGCTTCCAGGCAGAGGGAAGAGAAAGTATAGGGCAGGGAGCCAGGAGAGGCAGAGGGGCAGGGGTGGAGGTGGGCTGGGCGGGACTGAGAGCCCTACGAGCATTGCTCCTGCGTCCAGGAAGGAGCAGGGAGATGGGCCGGGTGTCCACAGCCAGTGGAAGGGGCAGCAGGAGTCTGAACCTGAAGGGCTCTCGGGTCTGCGGGACTGTCTTGAGGCCTGGGGACACCCTGGCCTGCTCCGGGAACTGCTGCCACCACTCTGCAAAGGGCCACAGGAACAGCTAACAGGATAAAAAACATCCAAGCCCACTGGGCCTGTACTGTGCCTTGGAAATGTACTCCGCATAAATAAAACTGGAATTATGTAGGGAGAGAGGAAGAAGGATGCTTACTGTAACACTGCTCTGTTCATAGCAGCAAAAATTGTGGAAGAACTCTGCCTGCCGGAGGGAGAAGGGTTGTTCTGAGTGTGGTCACTCGGGCCACGGGATATTCTGCAGCTGTTCAGATGAGTTAAGGTCCCCTCCACATACCGGGTATAGGCCTATGACATTCTTAGATGAAAAGGGAAAAATGCCTTGCACAGGAATGAGGATGGTGGTTCCAACTTTGTAATATGCTGTGCTGTTTTTAGGAACATAAAATTCCTGAAGTTTATTCATGAGCCTGATGAAAGGATTAGTCCCAAGCAATGAACTTGGAGGAGGCAGATTCTTAATTTTCTCCTAATAGAACTCTGTGGCATCACTTACACTTACATTTATGATTTTAAAAGGAAAATGCTAAAAAAAAAAATCAGCTGGAGCCAGCTGACCATGGACTGAATCCCCTTGAAATGTGAGTGATGTCAGCCCTCCTCCTTGCGGTGGTGAGTGCTGGGTGCTATGTGTCGGTGACCCCGGCCCGGGCTCTGCCTCCCGGATCGTCCCGCATGCACAGGCGCCTGTCTCCGGCAGTGGGAGGGCCGCTCTGGTGGCTTAGCACCTGGGAGCGCCACAGTCAGCACCGGAGCGAGGCCAGGACTGTCACCTCGGGGCAGGTGACTCCTCAAGCGCCCCAGAACCTTATGAGCCCGTGTCCACCCTGTCGCCAGGGTTCTGGTGCATGGACAGGTGCCAGGGACACCGCTGCCCACTGAACTCCGACGCTAGGTGCTTGGCTCCGGCCCCGCTGCTTCCCTTCCCTCCCGGAGAAAAGGGTGTCAGGGCCGGGAGGGGTCTGCAGTTCTCAGCCGCCACACTCTGCCTCGGTCTCCCTAGCCTGGGGCTGCTCTAGAACTCTGTGCAAAGCACTCTAAGGCATCGGGGTGAGAAGTGGGCAGAATTCCCGGGCTCCAGGCCAGGGGATTTGTGGGGTGAGAAGCACAGCCCGACAGCCGGCGGAGACGGGATGGCACCTGCTCCCCCTCGCCCTTGTGGAAAGACAGGATGCCATGTGACCAGCCACGGGCGGGGTGCCCAGAGCCACAAGTCCCAGCTCTGCAGCTCCCTGCTGCTGTGACCCCCGGACGGTGGAGGCCCTGGCCTGTCCTCACCCCAACCTGGGCCCCTGGTCACCATGAGCCTCCGAGACGGTGCCATGTGGCTCTGGGCTGGCTTGGGCTATTTCTGGTGTTACTGTGCACGCGGCCGCGTGCCAAGCTCCACAAGGCCAGAGGGCAGGCGGGAAGCAGGGACAACCGCGTGTTGGACCCTGAAACAGAGGACGTCCTCGGATCTGGACCAGCTCCACGGGGTGCCGGGCAGGTGCCCAGGATGGCAGCGTACTGGCCGGTGGAGGGGACAGTGACCTCCCAGCTGTGCCACACAGGCATGGGGCACACAGTGCACCCACAGGCGGCCTTGTGCTCTCTGCCCTGCTCAGCAAGAGGACATCTGGGATGTCCAAGCCCTCCCTGCAGGACAGCACCCTTCTGGGCCCCTCTGATGAGGACGCAGGGTGCCACTGGACCCGTCCCCAAGGGCCACTAGACCCACCTGCAGCAGGTGAGCAGTGTGGCTATGTCCTAGGGCGCTGTCACCGTGCACACCCCAGAGGGTGCTGGGAGCCGCAGAGCCCCATGGGGCTGCAGGAAGGCCTAGGGCAGCACTCAGGAGACCATGGCCTGGGTTTGCTTGGCAAGTGTCACTGTCCACACTCAAAGCAGAGCAGACATGGCACCGACTCAGGGGACCAGAGCAGGGCTGACTGTGACCCCTGAGAACCTCACAAACAGGTAAGCAAAGCTGGGCCTTCAGCTGGGCGTGGCGGTGCACACCTGTGACCCCAGCACTCTGGGAGGCTGAGGCAGGAGGGCTGCAAGGTTGAGACCAACCTGGGCGACTTAGCCACTTAGTGAGACCCTGTCTGCAAAGAAAAAGTGCGCAAGGGCTGGGGATGTGGGGCAGTGCGAGGGGCCTGGACTTAGCCCTTCACCTCAAAGGCAGAAGCAGCGCTGGGCTGTCCCAGAGGCGAGACACATTGGGCCCCATCCCGAAGCTTCCCGGGAGGGGAGAGCTCCACTGAGGTCATCTCAGTGTCTCCCAGATTTCCAAGACGAATCTCCCCTAATTGCATCAGCCAGTGTAAACTGGGTCCCAATTAAAGGGCTCCTTGGAGGCCTCAAACATTCTAATTTTCTAGTTCGGTCGCCCCAAGTGTCTGACCCCATCTGAGGACAAACGTTCCAGGAAAGGAGGGGACCATTCTCTCTTAGTTATGGGAAAAGCAGGCTCAAGTCCAAGTTGGTCTGAAATTCAGGGTCAATATTCCTGACTTAGATGTCTTTCAACCAAAACTCCGGAGCAGAGGCACTGCGGACAGGGTGACCCTGTGGTCCTGCCGCCACCAGGCTGCCCTGCAGTCCCCATGTGTGTCCCACCCTCCACTCCCCAGACCCTGAAGGGAGGCTCGGGGTCCCACTGACCTTGAGCTGCAGGCTACAGACACCGTGTCCTGCCGGTCACTCTCGCAGCCGAGAAGTGTAAGGGGAGCTGCCGGGGCTGGAGGAGGCCGGTTGCTGGGCGGGGCCCGGGACACATCCGGACCAATCCTGGGCCACCCACGGGGCACCCTGGCTCCCTGGCAGGGCCTTCCCAGCCCGCTGCTTCTCTGAGCCGTGTCCCACCCTGAGGAGACAGGCGGAGACCTGTCTGCTGGCCCCAAGCTGAGGCTCACCTCGGGGGCCATGCTTCTCCCTCCTCCAGGGAGCTCCATCCTCGGGCATCTCTGGAGAGGGAACCCCTCCACCATGGGCGGAGAGCAGGAAGCTGGCTGACCTGGGGCTCAGGGCCATCCTTCGGTCTTGAGATCTGGGGCCCAGACTCCGGGATAGGGACCCTCACATTCCAGCTCCGGACCCAGATACCCCAGGATGGTCGCTTTCTCTCCACATCCGCTCAGCCCTCTACCCAGCAGGCCCCAAGGCCACTCTGTGCTTAAAAATAGCTCTCGGGCCTCAGCAGCTGCCAACCGGAAAGCTTGGCTATAAACAGCAATGACCACAGGACTCTGGACAGCAGCCCTGCCCTCTGGAAATGGAAGCCGCTGGGCTGTGGATCGGTCACACGAATGAATGTCACCAGCCCACTCCTGTCTCCTGGCCCAGCCAGGCTGGAGGGGGTGGGGGAGCAGGGTTCCTTCGCCCAGCAGGGTTCTGTCAGAGTCTCGGTCCTGTCAAACTCCCCAGCCAAGGCACACTCTCACCTCCACAGGACCAGCCTCAGACGTCGGTGGCACCGAGGGATGAGACTGAAGTCCCTGTCTGAGTCCCGATTCCCTGTTATTTCCTGCCCGCCACCTGGGGCTCCTCTACCCTGTTTGCCCTGTGAACTTCAGGAGGGAGAGAACCCGAAGGAGCCCACTGCCATGAAGCAGACCAGACCACGCAGAGAAACGCAAGAAGGGTCAGATGAAGCAGCCACACAATTTCCAAGCATCTGAGGAAAGCAAAGTTTATTTTGCATACAGGCATCACCTGCCCCTCCCCTGCAAGTGTGGCCACAGCACAAACCCCTCGGTTGGAATTGCAGATGTAGCAGATCTTCAAGCAACTGGACACAAGCAATATGCTTCCCACACTCACACACGCACACTCATACACGAATTGTGTTCAACTCCTCCGCCAAGGAGAGCTGAGGATGGCACTGAGGTTACCTCCCCTGGGACAGCACTCTACAGTTTTCAGTCCAGCAGCAGCCCTGTGAGGTAGCAGTGCAGCAAGTTCGATCGATCCCTTCTTGCAGATGACAAAGCTGAGGCTCAGAGAGGTACAGACATGGGCCTAAGGCTGCCCAGCTCATGGGTGTGAATCCAGGCTGGGACTCGGTGTGCAGGTGCCTGGTCCCATGCTTTTTCAAAGCAGCTTTTTGGAGAAATGTGAAATGTGTGTGGAAAACACGGAGCTTTGACATCGTCACATGCAACTGTTACTTCCTGGAGCAGATCAGCCAAAGGGCAGTGAACCCTGTGTTAATGGAACCTGGGGGTGGCCAAGAAGAATAATTTCCTGGTCACTCATGTGTCTGTACTTCCAACAGACATACTACCACTTTCATCTGCCGTGCATTAATTTTACACCAGCAAGGCTCAATGGTGTCTATGACCCGGTCCTTATTGAACCTTACACTTATTCGTAACATTCATTGATTTTCATTGACTGTGTATATCGGCCTGACAAATACTATGTTACCTTTTTGCCATTTCAATAGTAGTAAACATTTTTTGCATACAAGATAAAAGAAACCTTTCACTCTAAGATGGAGAGATTCTTTCAGTGGGAATAAGACCAAACTTTGAAAGGAAAAGCTAAGTCAAATCCTTTGCTTTTAACTGAAGTTAACTTCATCAGGATACTCTCTGTCTGGCAATATTCTTTTTGGCTAAGAATTCCAAAGCTGCCACCTGGCTGGCCCCAGATCGTGTCTCCTATCATCAATGGGATTTTACTTCTGATCTTCTGGGTCAATGCTGCAGTGTCCGCGTCCACCCCATGGCTGTTAGGGGCTGCCTCCCACCCACTCCCAGAAACGGGCCACATGCTTGTGTCTCAGCAGACACACACAGCTGGAAGGAGAAGCAGACGGCAACCCTAACAATGAGAGATGCACACGTTGCTCCGGGGATTTCCAGTTTGAGGGAACTGAGCTCATCTGTTGCTGAATCTCAGCTGCCCCACAGGGCCTCGCCTTCAGGGACTCCCTGGGGAGTGGCGTTCTCCAACTTCAGCAAGGGAACCGGAAGCAGGGACCTGGACCCCACTAATGCATTAACCTGCTAAAGGCAGTGCCCATGGATGACCACTGGGTGGCGCGCCCCACACACTGCAGAAGACGGACACCAAGGCTTTCTCACTAGTGGGGAAGAGCTGCCTTCCAGAAGGGAGGAGTACTTGAAGCTGCTCCATCTCTCACTGCACCCTAATGAGCAGGCTGCCATGCCTCAGGAACACTCAGGTCAGAGGGATTGAGTCCAAGCCCCAAGAAAGGCGGACAGAGCCACACTGTCCCCCTGGAGGGCCAGAGGAAGGATGCCAAGGCAGAGCGGAAGGTGGCGCCTGAACCTCTCCTGGAGTGGTCCTGATTCTAGTTCACCTCCCAGCCTGTATTCTGGAGCCAAGCAGGCTCACTGTACTTTCCTCCTCTTCTGCAAGACCTTGAGGTGTTTGGAGCCATCAACACATCATTTCAAACCCTCCGCTTCTGAGCATTGAGGAATGAGTCATGAGGATGCATCGTTAGAATCCAGCAGCCCATGCCGCTCTTCATGCATCGAGATGTGTCAGCCTCTTACTTAAAACTGAAGAGAATGAACAAGCAACATTCTTTAAAAAAGAAATATAAAGCATCCATAAGGAAGGCTCCTCGGGCTCAACACTACCCTGCTGTGAGCTATGGAAACGATGGGGTGGTCTTCGTGTATGATGAATAATTTTTTACTTAGTTGATGCCGCACCTGGGATTATGTCCAGAGATGGCCCTGACGGTGCAGAAAGCCACCTTCTCTGCTTCTATGGCACATTATCTGGCCAGCTCTGCCAGCAGGTCCTAAGAGTCGCCAGGAGGATTAGCCAGCTGTTGAGCAAATAATCTAATTGCAAAGAGAGACAAAATGGCTAGGGAGATCAGTTCTTCATTGTCAACCTCAGTAAGCTTCGTGCCTCTAAGGGAGAGTGTTGGGTCAGTGGGCTCAGGGAGCAGTTACTCTGTATCGTTTTCTCTCCTATATTAGAGCAGCAGACTCCCTGAGAAGAGGAGAGGGAAGTAAACAATGCAACAGCCCACTTCCTCCGTGGCTGCCATCTTGGGAAGAACAAGCCCACGCCCTAAGCCCTGGCAGCAGGACCCGGCCTGCATTTGTTCTGCTGGAAAAGCTGTTGCGTAGATGAGTCCATTTCCCCCTCAGTGACACGGGAATGACCTCAGAGCATTTTCAACAGAGAAGGCTGGGGTAAAGGAAGACTATCTACTAGCAGCACAGGAAGTATGGGCTTTCAAAAGAAAATCCCACAAGACAGTTTTTAAACAACACAACCCATGTTTGTAGCAAGCTTATGTGTAATCAGAAAAGAGTTCTGCAGTACTTTGGGCAGCGAAGAAATCAAGTCAAGCAGGATGCAGAGGTGGGTTCTAGCTGTCTGTTCTCACAGGGCAGGAAACTCCTTCTTGCCATAGCACTTTGTGGTCTCTGTCTTCTACAGTTCCATCGGTGAGGTGGCGTGCAACCTTCTGCAAACCCTGCAGCTGTCTCTGAGGAGGAAAGAGGTCCCCTCCCACACTCCAAGACACCCATTGGCTGGAATCCGCTGTTGCTTTTAAGGAAATGCTACCAACAAATGCACTTGGGTTTCACCATTTCTTTCCTGTCCTGTTGTCAGGTCACGCCACACCTCCCACATGATGAGTCACCATGCACATGCTACACACAGAGGCACTGCTCATGTGCTGGCCCAAGGGAGGACGCCTGTGACCACGGGAAATGGAAGCAGTTAAATCCCAGGAGATCGTGGGTGCGTCTCGGCCAGTAAAGTGCCATCAGGTCTGCTCTGTGGGTCCTTGTCCCCAAGTTCTCACAGAACGTGGACAGAGGGAAACCTACCTTCTCATACAGCATCTCCCCTCTTACAATCTCTCACATAAAGTGCTCCACCAGCTGTACCTACGCCAGTCTTTGCCCCTTCCCACCCAAGGCTGAAGTGCCCATCTCTGACCCACACAGCTGGCTTTCATTCTGGGTGCAGACAGAATTCAGTCTGGTTCCATCTCTGGTGGGCAGAGGAGCCTGGCTTCATCTTCCCATCCCCCGGGCTCGGTGTGATGCACAGCATGCACATTCCATCTGTCTCGCTGTCCATGGTGGCAGTGCTGAGATCACAGGGAAAGGCCAGGTCTTCAAGCAGGGAGTCGAGGTTCAATCTTCAGTGAGAGCCCATAGAGTGTATCTTCATCAATGATGAGGGCTTTATCAAGCAAGTACTGTGTGACCTGAAAGAAATCCCAGCAACAGACATTCTGTGAATGGAATTTGATATAATTCAACATGTTTTCTTAAACATTTAAAATGTTTATGTGACTAAAGAAAACATCACTATTGTGATAATTAAGCTCAACTGTCAAGTTGTTTTGGGAGCCACATAGGGGATTGGTGGAGCACACTTCTAGGTGTGTCTGGGTGGGTCACAGAGCAGTGGCCGTGGGGACTATGTCTGGTCCCTCACCCCTTCCTCTCTGGCACTGGTCTCTTGCTCTGCTTCCCTCCACCATGAATTGAGCTGCTTTGCTCCACCATGCCCTTCCGCCATGATGTTCCTTCTTGGAACCAGCTCCCATAGACTGAACCCCCTGAAACCATGAGCCAATTAAACCATTTCCTCCTTTAAGTTGTGGTGTCAGGTATTGTGTTCCAGCAACATGAAAGGTGACTAATACAAATATTTTCATTGAAAAACAACAAATATCTCTAGCCTCCCTCCAACTCTAGCCTTGGGTGAGATTATGGCTTTTACCTAGATATTGCCCACAGCCTCGTGTGCTGATAGGTAGTGCTGTGGGGAGTGCTGGGTCAAATGGGTATCATACTGGATTAGACCACTCATGGGTTTATATCTGGGTATGATGTTGGGAGGTAAAGCCGGGTAAGAAGAGGTGGGTCACTGTGGGCATAGCCTGGATATTCATTCCTACTGCCTTCAATACTTGCTGCTTCCTGCCTGCCATGCCCGCCATGTCATGAACTCTTTCTCCTCTGCCATGCTACGCTGTCTTGGAGCCAGCTGACTATGGATTGAAACCTCTACAAACTGTGAACCAAAATAAACCTCTCTTTTAGGTTTAAGGGTACTGGGTATTGTGTCTCAGTACCGAGAAACTAAGATAAGACCCATTAGAAGCATGGCTGTGATCATGTGGTGTAAACTACCCCAATGTCTGGCTGTGTCTTCATGGATATTACGTGTCTTACAGCTTCATGCAAATGGAATTGTGCAGTAGACACAACTTCCTGTCTGGCTCCTTTCACTTGGCAGTGTTCTGAGATTCACCCAGGCAGGCACCTGCATCGCCAGCGTCTCCTCTCATTATTAAGTAGTCTTGGCTAAAGTGTAGATGTGTACCCCAACTCATGTATCCTTTCTTCTGCCGATGGGCACTTGAGCTGTTTCTAACTTTTAGCTGAATTAAAAAATATTCTAAGTATTTCATACCAGGCTTTTTAATGGGCATTTTCATTTCCCCTACCTTGGAGAGAAACTGCTGGATTGTGAGATAGATGCATAATTAACACTTTAAGAAGCTCCCAGTGTGTTTTCCAAAGAGGCTGCACTGTCTTCCTATCATTAATAATGTATATATGAGTTCCGGTTGCTCAGTATACAATATTTAATTTTAAAAATAATGTAAAATGACTTCCAAAGCTGCTTCTCCTGTAGTACACAAGAGAACCTGTTTTCCCTCTCCTAACTCACCTGGGATTGTATCAATCTTTTGAATTTTTCTTAATCTGGAAAGTGATAACGATGTCTTATTAACTGCATTTTTTCTTTTTACTAGTGAAGTTGAGAATTTTTCAAATATTTATTAGTGATTTCTATTCCTTCTGTGAACTGTTCTGAGTCAGCACCTTTTTTATTGTTTATGTTTTATAGATTTATAAGCATGCTTTTATTCTGCTTTATATGTTGGAAAAAATTGTTTCCTAGTCTGTTTGAATTTTGATTGTTTAAATAATTGCCCACTGTCATGTAGAAGTTTTTAATTCTTTCATGCAGCAAACTTTACTAAGCTTGTCTTTTTAGCATTTGCATTCTGTACTTAAGATCTTTCAAAACCAAAGGTCCTGAATATTTTATCCCATATTTTATTCAAACAGCATACATTTTTTTTTCAGTACTGAGAATCAAACTCAGGACCTTCCACTTGCCAGGCAGGGGTGGCACCACTGAGCTACATCCCCAGCCCAAAATTTTGTTTTATATCTACGTAATAAACTCATCTGGAGTTTACTTTTGTGAATGGTATAAGATGGAAAGCCAAAATTCCTATTCTATTTATTGACTGGTCAGTTTCTCTCTGAAACTTTCCACAAATGCCTGTTTCTATCCCATATTAAATTTTCATATAGACAAAATCTGTATCTGGGCCCTATTCTGCACTGTTGAATTTGTATCCTTAGGCCAGGAAGTCCTCTTTATTTGCTCTAGGAAATAGATTTACAGCTTTAGGATGTCTGGTGGTAAGTTCTAATTTTTCAAGTTCTTCTCTGTTTTTCTCCCAAGGTTCTTTATGAAATTCAAGATGTTTGTCAAGCTGTGTGAAAAATCCCGTGGGGATTTTGAAATTTACAGACTGATTTGAGGACAACAGACATCTCTACAAGTGGAAGTCTTCTGACCCATGAATATGACGTAGCTATCTGTTCAATCGGAACCTGCTATATGTACTTCACTTCATCAAGTCTTGTGTCTTTTTGTTCTGCTTAATCCTAAGTAACATAGGCTTTTTCTTGTTATCTTGAGTGAGATCTTTAATATTCTATTTCAATTGAGTATTAGCAAAGTAACAAAATCATTGCTTCTTATATATCATGTTGCTATGTTCCCTCAGTATTTAGGAGTTTTCTCTTGGATGCTCTCCATAGCTGGTGAGAACATCTGCAAATTAAACCACTTACTCTTACCTCTCAGATCTGAGTAACTTTCATTGCTTCATTGCAATGGCTATTTCCTTCCAGTTCAAAATTGAACACTAGCAGTAACAGTGAAAACCTTGGAACACTTTTTTCCTGATTTGGATTAATTAACTTAAGAAACATGTACTATATCTACCATGGTCCAGGCATTGTATGGAATGCTGGGGCTCTCATAAGAAACACAACAGATAAGGATGTCGCTCAGGGATTTCCTACATGAATGTGTGAATCACACAAAGAAATGCAAAGCTGCAACTGGGCAGTGCTGCTAGCAAGGAGAGGTACCTAGTGCAGTTACAGGCTGGAAAGCTGGAAAGTTAGGGAAGGTGTTCCTGAGGGGGTCGGTGAAGCTGTGTGTGAGTTAACTGTTCAGTGTGAAAGAAAAGCACCATATGGAGGAGACAGCGTACAGAAAGGCAGTGGTCAAACCTAGAGGCTGTCACAGAAAGCCTGGCCCCACTGTCAGAGTGGGGATTTGCACTTAAGCTAATATGCAGCAGGCCAGAATGATTCACGAGGTGAAAGAACAGAAGCATCGATACAAACTGTGTTCTGCTGAATATACTTGGGTCAAGAGAGAAATCAATGGGGAGCAAACACACATATATTTCTGTGCTCTGTCAGCCAAGAGGGGCTAACAGAAACAATACTTCCCATGATGACACCTAGAGACTGCATCTTGGTTTCTAACACTATTTACCAATAAAAGGAGTTGGAACTTTGGGAAGAAACATCTGAGTCTAGGACTGGGGCTAGAAATATGCAAGATGAACCCAAAGCATCTCAAAGCTGCAGAGATCAAGGGAGTCCTCAAAAAAGAAAAGAAAAAGAAGCCCACACTATGGGGACAGGTCCAAAGAGTGAACTGACAGAGCACCCAATGGCCAAACATGGAACAATTTCAGCAGCAAAGTAAGTTATGTCATAACAGATTGGCACGCTCAGCATGAAACCCCTCAGTCCATAGTGATTCCAGTTCGTGCCTGAATGAGTGAGAGAGAAGAAATAAATCTCCCAGGCATGAGAACTCCAAGTCATTCATGGAGATATTTTGTTCTTGAGGAGGGAGAGCATCCTCTTCCACGCCAGAACATGGCATGGAGGGAGGAGAGAAGGGTCACTTTCCAGGGCCGAATCTGACCAGCACCAGCCCGGCCAGCTGATCAAGGTTCACATCAACAGTTATCAACTCTACGGGCAATGTGTGTGCACCTATGTGTGAGGAGAAGGAAGGACACCTCACCATTGTGCTCTTCCTCCCAGGAAGCAGAACTTAGCTAATCATGAGCAAACACCAGGCAAATTCCTACAGGGGCACCTCTACCAAATACCCGACCAGGACTGCAGAGGGCGCCTGGTGCAAGAGCACTCGCCTGGCATACACAGGCTTCAGGTTCCATCCCAGCACCACACACACACACGCGCGCGCGCGCGCGCGCGCCTGGCCAGTATACCTCAAAATGTCAAGGTCATCCAAAATAAGGGAAGTCTAAGAAACTGCCACAGCCAACGGAACCCTAAGGGGCCTCTGTACCTAAATGAAATACGGCGTCCTGAACAGGATCTCGGAACAGAGAAACGGCACTGGGTAAAAAGTAAGGAAATCTGAAAAACGATGAGCTTTTGTTAGCAATGATGTTATCAGTATTAGCTCATTACTTCTAGGAAATAGATCATGCAAATGTGAAGGCGTTAAGAACAGGAAAAACTGGCTGTGAGGTACATGGAAACCTTGGTGTTGCCCTCTTGGTTTTTTTAAATCAAGCTAACACTGTTCTTCACAAATAGGGCTTAAAAACAGACCAGCGTGGCTGGGATGGAGAGAGTCAGGTGTGTGGGATGAATCTTCAGAAATAAATAGGGTCACATCATGCAAGACATCTTGGTCATATCAGGACTGTCCTCTTTTTTATCCCAAGAGCAAAGGGAAGCCGATTAAAATGCTTCCTTTCCACGGATGGGGCTGTTTGTTATCTACACCATGCCTCACAGGTCTCCATCTAGTATGGATTTTGCATGTGCATTCTGTGTGTTCAGACTCAGACGCTGGAGCCCGAGACAGAAGAGGGGTGGACTCCTGGGAAATGTGGCGTGAAGACCGACAGAAGCTGGCGATGAGTTGGTGTTCCTTTTGCCTTCCTTCCTGTTTCCTTGGTCAGACTCACTGAAGATTTGTATTGTATTGGTCCTTTCTAAGAGACAGCTGTTGGGATTTCCACTCAGTTCTATTGTTTTCTTACCCACTGATTTCCACTCCTTTTCTTTGTTAATCCCCTCATAGCCACACGTTACCTTTGGCTGATGGTCTATGCGGTACGAGGTCTGCTGGAACTGGCGTATCTCTCGGATGATGTGTGATATCTACCAGAAACAAACAACAAGCAAAGCCAAGCAGTTTCCTTGGACTGCACTCCTGCATTCTCCGGGCTCCCCCAGGGTTCCTTGCTCTAGGGCCTGGTGGTACACACCCTTCAGGGAGCCATGTGAACTGCCCAGTCCTCATTCACCAGAGGCAGCTGGCTCTGATGCCTCCAGTGTGGGCGGTGCGAGTTCTGCTGGCTCCGGTCCAGGGCTGGCTGCCGCCCCGTGAGAAGCCCTCAGCTCCTGTCTACCACAGGTCAGGCTCATGTCTTGGAGGTGCACTCCCCTCCCCTGGCCTAGCCACCCCACATCTCCTGCAGCAGCCAGCCAGGCGCTGGGCCCAGTCTCCACCTCCTCCCATCCACCCTCAGCCTCTTCTGCGTCGTTGGTGAAGTCGCCGACACAGGGCGAAGAGCAAGGCGTCACCTACCATTCTCATTTTGGAGAAGTTGACAAGGCCTTCTTCAGTGAAGTTTGGGGTTCCCTCCTCAATAAATGCCAGGTCTGTCAAGTACATCCCGAGATAGGGAACCGCTGGGGGGTTACAACTGCGAGACCAAGAAGTGCGGCCTGAACAGCAGGCACACAAGTGTCTGCCTCCTCCCCAGTTCACACAGAAAGCTGCCACGCCACTTCAGTCCTGCAGAACGAAGACTTCCCATTCCGTCTTCAGAAGCAAGCTCATGATATGCAGAATTTCACACATGTCACAGCAGAATACAATGCAAAATTATGGCCCTGCTTTACTCTGTTTGAGACAATGGTGTATCCAACAGAATGTTATAGAGACACACACAAGATACCTGCTAGCAGGAATTGTTCGCAGTTCATGTCAATTGGTCATACTTCTCTGAGGGATAGAAGCATTGTTATGGTTTCTAGCTAGCTGACCCCCTTCAAGCCTCCCATGATCACAGGTGGGGCTTCTGAAGGAGACTGGGCGGTGGGGCTCATGGCCGACTTGCTGTTAGGAGGTGGGGTCTGGCCAGAAGAGGTGGCCCCTGGGGTGGGGCCTGGGAGGGTGCCACTCCCTCCCTGCTCCCGCCTTTGCTCGCTGCTTCCTGTCTGCCATGCCATGGGCTGCTCTCCTCCGCCAGGCCCCTCTGCTGTGTCACCTGCCTTGGAGTCAGCGGACCACAGACTGTAACCGTGAGCCAAAATAAACCTCTCCTCTTTAAGTTGTGGGTGTCGGTGACAAGGACGTAACTAAGGCAACCATGCAGGAAGCCCTTATGCCTTCACCTCACTAAGCTACAAGCACGCAGCCTAGAGAACTGGTGCAGAAACTCAGCTTGGTCAGGGCCCATTTCCTTTTTCCATACTGTGATGTTTAGGGGGACCAGAAAAACACCACAGCCACACAGCTAAGGGAGACCCTGTCTTTGTTTTGGAGGGAACAGAGAATGCTTGGTCTCCTGAAAGAGGCCTGGCCCCGGGCTTTCTGCACAGAAAGAACCGGGCTGGGTCCCAGCCCAATCAGCTGCTCAGTGCTGCTGGGCAAGCTCTGCAGGCTGAGCTTTCTCCTCTGTAAAATGGAGCCAGCAAAGCTTACTGCCTTGGTGTCCTGTGAGGCTTACCAAATACTCGCCAAGTACTTAGCATGGAGGGGTCATTTAGGAAATATTTAGTAAAGAGCTCTTCTGCTATCATCACTATTGTTGCTGTTTTCCACATCCCATCACAAGACTAGGCTTTTTCCAGACCAAGGCAGGGCCCTGTGGTGGATCAGGAGAAAAGAGCTGCAGGAGAACAGATTCTATGTTGAGGGGCTGACGGGGGAGGGGGGAGAGATCCAGAAATATAAGGCCCCAAATACACAACAATAATCAACAAGTTCTAGGATATTTAAATGAAAAATATTACAGGAAATTGTGCTAAGGCTCAGAAATTCTGAAGCAAGAAACCTTTTACACTACAACACAATTTGATTCTGTGATATTTTCTTGTCTGGAATATTCTGCGTACCATGAGTACCTACATAAGGTGCTGTACGCACAGTATTCCGAGAGAAAAGGGAGCTCTAAACACCCAGGTGATGGAAGTTACTTCTGCTTGGTTTTCTTTTCCAGCAGTGAAGGAGGAGGGTCGCCATTTAGATACTAGAAAAATACAAGAATCATTTTGAAATCAACCTAGACCTACTTTTTAAGGGTTTCTCTGAGATTCTTAAATCTTCCTTCAGATGAAACAGTCTTCTGAAGCTTGTCCATCACAGCTTTTGTCTAAAACAGAGAGGAAAAAGTTATGAGGATACCAGGGTTTAACCAGGAAGCCAGTTGCCAAAAGATGGTTGGTCCCCTGGTTTGGCAGCAAATGCAGCTCCTGGACCAGAGCAGAGGCCGTGGTGATGGTTCCCAGGGTGGGGAGGCAGGGCCTCATGTGACAGTCAGTGCTGAAAGAGAAAAGGCGCGTGTAGGAAGGAAGGGCCCTAGCCACACTCAGCCTCAGGCAGAGGAAAAATGTGCAGAAGAGAAACATCATGATGTGCTGAAAACCTGGGACTTGGAGGCCCGGACAGCACTGCTGACGGGGCTCCCCGAGGTGCCCTTCTGTCAGGGTGTCTCCTCCATGAACCCTTCCGAGTGCAGAGCTCCAGGCACCCAAGTGCACCCTGGGCAGCTGTGTGCCAACTGAGCAATGGCCTCCACTCTGAACCCTTTCTTCTGTGATCACCCTCATCAATGTTTCGGGAAAGGAGGACTGACATTTACTAAGAGGTAACAGTGCTGCTGACACCGGCCTGGAGTCTTCTGCAGGGACGCAGGAGCAGGGCAGGGTGGCCCTCAGGTCTAAGGCTGCCTGGGTGGGCCTGGACCCTCCAGGCCCTCTCTGGAGGGCCCCTGGCGTGGCTGCTGAGGCTGCACACACTGCGGGGCTGTCAGGATGTTTCCCGTGCTGGCCTAACCCTTGCTTCTGGGGCCTGCAGGCCTCTGTGCTGGCCCAGGGCCGGACTTGGCTCAAAGAAGCTGTGGAAGTACGGTACAAGACCCCAGTGATGACTGTAACTGCACTGTATACCTAAAACGTACCAATAAACTAAATGGAAAAAAAAATGTGTTATTTTGCGTGCCAACCCCTCACAAGGAACACAATCATTACGTACAGCAAATGTACTAATAACAATAACAAAATTTTTAAAACTCTTAGAAAACTAGGAAAAGAGGGCAAGTTCCTCAGTTTTAGAAAAAGATATTTACCAAGAAACCACCTACTACCATCTTTTTTGTTGTTGTTCTGTTTTTGTTTTTTCGTTGTTTTTGTTGTTGTTGTTGTTTTGAGACAAGGTCTCGCTCTGTGTTCAGACTGGCCCCAAACTGACTTTGTAGCCCAGGCTGGCCTCGAACTCCTGGCGACCCTCCTGCCTCTGCCTCCTGAGTGCTGGGATTACAGACAGTCCTGCACCTCCACGCCCGATGATCCTACTACACCATCATTTGTGGTGAAAAACTGAATGCCTTCCTCTGAGATTGAAAACAAGGTAAAAATTATTTTTCTCACCACTGTTATGCACACAGTGTTAGAAATGTTAGCCGGGGAATTTGGGCAAGAAAAAGAATTAAAAGGCAGATAAATCATAAAGAAAGAAATGACTGGCCCTATTTTTAAATGGCATAATTGTCTAAGTGTAAAATTCTAAGAAACCTATAAAAAAGCCCCTGAACTAATAAGCAATATCAGCAAGGTGACAGGTACAAGTTTGATGGTAAAAAGTCAATCACATTTTTATACATGAATGTTAAATATGTATGTGGAAACTAAAATTAAAACCACAATGACATTTAAAAAAATCTTTCCAAAGAAAATGAAGTATTTAGGGATAAATTTAACAAAACATGTAGGACTTGGATACTGAAAATTGCAAAATGCTGACAAAAGAAATTCTAAATTAATGGAGAAATGTACTATGTTTAGAGACAGAAAGACTCAACATAGTAAAGGTGTATATACTCCCCAAACTGACACGTTTACTGCAATTCCAACTAAACTCCCAAGGACACAGACTTACTCTAAAATTTGTATGGATAATCACAGTAATCTAGTAAACATAAAACAATTCTGAAAAAGAATAAAGTGGGAGGAATACCTGAAGAATTTTCAAAACTCAACAGTAATAATCCAATTAAAAATTAGCCAAAGACATGAGCAGGCATTTGACAGAAGAGACCTACAGATGGCAGATAAGCACATGAAAAGGTGTTTAACATCGTTGGCCATTAGGAAAGTGCATACTTAGACCGAGTCTCTAAACTAAAAAATAATGATTACACCAAATGCTTACAAGAATGCAGAGAATCTGAATTGTTCATGCATTTCCAACCAGCACGCAAAATTTTATAGCCACTCTGGAAAAAGAGTTTGAAAAATTCTTATAAAACTAAACACATCCTTACCATGTGATCCAGAAATTGCATTCTTGGACATTTATCTCAGAAATGAAAACTGACCACCCAAAACATTTACATGAATGTTCCTACCAGCTCTTTAGCAACAGGCTGAAACTGGAAACTTTCCAAATGGACTACAAGGAGTGAATGGTGAAACAAACTGTGGTATGTCCATACAAGGAATGCTGTGTGGGGCTGGTGATTTTTTTTTTTTAAGTGTGACATGGGAAATTCACTCTCGTAATGGAATTCTGTGTATTTTGACTTTGGTAGTGGTGGTCTTACTGATCACCCATATAACACAAGCACACAGAACTACATACACTTACACATACACACAGGGGACATAAAAAGCCAGTCACATCTAAGTAAGATGGGTGGATTGGGCCAATGTTCACTGATTTCCCTGTTGTGAGATTATCCACAGTCAGTTACACAAGAGGTTTCTGTGGGGGGCAGCTGGGTGTGATGTGCAGAGAATCTCTGTATCATTTCCTACAACTGCATGTGCATCTATAATCAGCTCAAAATAAAAGTTTTTTTTAAATAATAGTATTTTTTAAAACTGTAGCTTTAATTGCCAGATCCAGGTTCTGTTGACAGTCAAAGGACTCAGAGTTCTGAGGCCCAAAGCTGGGTTTTGAGAGTGCTGCATTTCCCTAAGCAACAAGCAAACAAGGCCTGGTGTCGCTGTACCTGGAGAAGTTGCAGCAGTCTCCCCACTATGGGGAAAGGCTGGAGAGAGAAAGGAAGAAATGAAGAGTGTCTCTGAGAGAGACTACATCCTCAGAGAAGGAACGAGGCCAGGCAGCACTAAACACACGTTCTCTTTCAGCAGAATACATTTCTGCTCTTCTTGCCTGGAGCCCTACACACAGGCACCTTGCTGATGTTCCTCACCAACTCTGCTGGGCAGATCAAGACAGGTACAGTAGAGAGAACAGGAAAATTTGCCTCATGCCTACTGGCACCAGTGGATCCTGGAAGAGTCTGGAAAATCCCCCCAAGGCCCTTTGAAAGGGTGGGGTATCAATCTCATAATCACATATCCTCCAGGGTTAGCTGTAACCCTTAAGCCCGAGGTGTCAACTCCACTGGATTAAGGAATACCTAGCAGATTGTAGAGCAGGTTCCTGGATGCCTGGTGGGTTGTGGAAGTGTGGCCTTGGGGTCTACGTCTGGTTCCTTCCCTTCCTCTCTGGCACTGTTGTTCTGCTTTGCTTCCTGGCTGCCATGAACTATGCAGCTTTGCGTCTCCCATACCCTTCCGCCATGATGGCTCTGCTTTGGGGCCAGATGACCATGGACCGAATCCCCTGAAACCATGACCCAAGTTAAACCTCTCCTCCTTTAAGCTATGTCAGGTACTGTGTCTTAGCAATGAGAAAGCTGACTAATACAATGGCCAAGGGGCAGGGAAGCCTGTGGTAGAGATGAGACACACCCAGGCTCAGAGCATCAGCAGAATCCATGAGAAAGGGGGGGACAAGGTCAGCCCAGCTTCCTGGCTGCTACCACCGGGCACAGTTCTGGGCAGGGTGGGCAAGCATGCACACACATGCAGTCCTGTGTCCATGTGCAGCCAGCAAAGGACTGCACGAGGAGGCCAAAGTGCAGACAGACGTCCAGCAGCTCAGAGAAGCCCCCACCCCACCCCAGAGAAGGCCTGGGAGAAGACCAGGGAAGAACGGAGGTCTGGTTTGCATCTCGAAATTATCTGAATGAAAACAGGCAACAGGCAAGCGGAATCCAATGGGAAAATACTGAAAAAGTTGTATTTGTACACATGTATGCCATTAAGCCAGACCTTAGATCTGCTACATGAATGACAAACAGGAGGGTGAACGCTGCATCTTATGGCCCTGCTTTGTACACTTTCTGGGGCAGAAAGAGCCACTCCATCAGTCACCAACAGATCTCTCTTGATTGACAGGCACACTGTAGGCGATCACCCCAGATGTTTCAGGGAACGTTTTGGGCATGCACACAAGTAGGACGCGGTAAGTGGTAAGAACACAGAAATTATTCACATGGGCGTCTTGCTCTGGCACTGTGCTGCTCAGCTGAGCTTGCAATCTAATTAGTAACATTCATCCCGGCCCTCCCCTCCCAGCAGCAGGCGATGTGGCACCCGGGCTCACCTGCTTGGACACTTTGGCCCAAGTTTTCTTCAGCCTGTAGATGGCGCTTCTGTTTAAGGCTGAGGTGATCTCCAGCACGCCGTTGTAGTTGTGCAGGCATCGGCAAATGTCTGCCACCGCCACCCACTTCTCAATGGCACTGGCGCGGGAGCCGACGTCAGCGTGGCTCATGATCTGTGAGGCCACCAGGTTACTCATCTGCGACAACCAGAGACCAGGGAGGCCGTTCAGGCGCCACAGCAGTGCGTTTAGGCAAAACCCCCGAATTCCCTGCACACCCAGCAGGAAAGCGGGGTGCCCAGTACTGCGGAGTCATATTCTGTGTTTGGACATCAACTTATAAAGAGACTCAAATCTGTACGACAGTAACTGTTCATTCTAGGTGGGAGGACAGCACTCTGCAATCCAGCTTATCAGAGCGAAAGGTGACTTTGCTCATCAGTAAGCTTGATTCAGCAGATATCGCAAATAATCACGGAGGAAATGGGATGGGATAACCTGGCTCCTGAGGAAAGCGAAGCCTGGAAATCCCGGTGTAACTTCTTGGGGACGTGCACTTCTTGGTCCACAGAGTGTGTAGATCTGTACTCTGGGAGCCCGGTTATCACAGGGAAAGGAACATTCACATCCCTCAGGCAGGCAGGACAAATACTAAGCCGATCAACTCTCAAGCTGGAAGCCCTGAGCTGTGGAGGCCGAGAGAGCATTGCTCCCTCCTGTAATTTGTCACCAGCAGTTAAAGGGACCCACTGCCTCCAGGCTAAGTACTATGATGCTTAGTCAGGGCCAGCATGAGAAGCTCAAGTTCTGCAATATGGAAGGGATAGGGGAAGAGCAGGACATGAGCAAAGGGACCATGGACAAATCGCTGGCACGGGGGGGATACTGCCTGCAGGGAGGGCCAGGGCACCCAGAGGTGGCGGGGAGAGGAGTCGGGCAATCCCGGAGGGAAGGGAGGAAAGGACAGATAGGAGGTGGGTGGGGGCTGAGGGGGTGCGAGATGTGGGTGAGTTAGGGCACAGGTGTCCACGGTGACCCCGACCCCACAGAGCGACTGTATGGCTAGCCGTCCACCGGGCTGCGAGCAGGAAATGGGCGCAGTGACCACTTCCGGTGGCCACCTGTGGACAGCACATGCCACGGCCATGCGAGTGGAGGATATGGAGCTTGTGACTGCACCTGAGACTTCAGTGTCCCCAGAGCAGGTGCCATGCAGGTGACAGAGCTTGGCTCTTCACAGCTGCTCAGAGTGACCCAGGTGTGCTGCACACCTGTCCTTTGGCAGCAATGGTGCTGATGGGGCCGTGGCACATGCTCAGCATCTGTGCCCCAAGCATGCCTGGCACAGTTCTGTCAATCAAAATGCACATGAATGTTCACATTCAAAAATTCTGTGGGCTGGGGATTTAGCTCAGTGGTTCTGCCGCCTGCCTTGAAAGTACAAAGCCTGGAGTTCGATCCCCGATACCAAAAAAAAAAAAAAGTTCTGTTATAGTAAAAGACACGTTGTCATGAATCCCTGAAATCCTCACCCTCACTTCAAGCGCACTCATCCCATCATCCTTGATACTTTCTGCAGCAGTCCTGGAGTCCTTTTCCCTGAGTCTTTCCAAGGTGTGATTTTAAAAAATACAGTGATTGCTGCCACCGAGTGCCATCCAACAGACAGGCAGCTCGTGAAAACATGGCACTGGGTCCTCATCCACCTGATTCACTGGATCCGGCACTGTGTGACTTCTGGCTCTTCCCCAGAGTCATAACGACTGTGAAAGGTCAACGTTTTGAACTGGTTCAGGACTCGAGGCAGCCAGAATAGTGCAACTAAAGACACTCAGGAAAGAGGACCCCAGAGCTGCTGCAGAAAGTGGCAAGGATGATGGGATGAGTGTCTAAAGTGAGAGGGAGGATTCTGAGGGGATTCATGGCAATGTGTCTTTCTAAAGAATAAAAACAAAAAACTAAACACCATATTTTTTGTTCGCAGCTCTTACACTGTTTTTGTACTTGGATTCTGGATGGCTCACTGTTGTGCCTATGGCCTCCTCTGCTGTTTTGAACACTATGGGTTTTCCTTTCCCTGCTGCTTCATGGACCTGGAAAGGCAGGCTTCCCTTCAACCAGGCCAGAAGACCCTTCCCCATCTCTCCTGGATGTGCCCACAGCAGAAAGACCGGGAGGACAGAAGCGCTGAGCATCGGCGGTGTAGCAGCTCCAGTCTTCATACAGGGGGCAGGCAGGGCTGGAGCTGGACCTGCAGCTGGTCACTGCCCCAGAGAGCCATGGGACCATGGGACCACGCTCTAGGGAGCCCATCTCGTGCTGGGATGTACTCTGGGCTGAGGACTCGGCCGTGAGGAGGTGGCACTGCACCGACCCTACCATCACCACCAGAGGCTGGGACACAGGCTTTGCTCACTCTGTCTGTCCATGGATGGCCACAGGTCATGATGAGCACAACAGTCATCCCGGCCACATGGACATTAGGCTCCTACCAGACTCCTTCAATGGAGCCTCTCAGGCCAGGGAGTGACTGGAAATGACCACAACCCTGTGAGCTGCTGGAGGGGGTTCAGCTGTGTTGACTTGTGCATCATTCTGAGTGAAAGGCAGGTGGTGGAGTTGATCTGAAGGATTCTTCGGACCCTCCCACGCATCTTCCCACGTGCCAAGTCCAGGGAGCTGGCGGGTACTCACGTCGTTGAAGTGCTGGCTGGTTTTCATAATGCAGGGCGTCCTCTCGGTCTTGTCCAGCTTCATCCATCCCTGCCCAAGAAACTCTCTGAAAGGTCAAACCAAAACACAGATCCATCAGGTCTTCAGGAAGCATGGTGATGGTCCTGAATGGTGAGCGTGAACTTGGACACACTGAATCCACACTGCCTGGAATGCCACCTGCAGCTACAGACCAGCTCCGGGCACACCGGGGAGCCCAGCAGCCCACCCGGTGGTGCTGAACACAAAGGCTCTGTTGTGCTCAGGCTTTCTCCCCATAGGTGTGTGGAACTTGTCCCTGTAAAGGCTTCTCTGAATTTGGAAACCAACCACTAACAGAGAAGAAATAAAGAAGTTCGGTACTAACTCAGAAACCAAGATGATTTCCATGGATTCACTTCTTTTAAATGTTAATCCTCAGCAGAGGGCCCCCCAAAATCCACCACTACCAAGGATGTTAACGGGGAGCAGAATAGTTCCCTCCACGCTGCCCTGGGCTCTCTGGGACGTGGTTCCCAGGGAGGGCTTTGCTCTCCCCAGACCGGGGGCAGTGTCCTCAGCCCTAGGTTCAATCCCCAGTACTGTAAATAACAATAATAATAATTACACCTCTGTGTGTGCACACACACATGCACATACATATGCACACATGCACACACGCACACACACACTTCTGCCTTACAATACAATGGCAACCGAGACTGCACCAGCAAAGGCCATACTCACTCGTAGGGGATGCTTCTGAAAATGACGTGGTCCAGCAGTGTGATCTGCTCAGCCAGCTCCATGGCCGACAAGGTCTCGAAGCACTCGGCCTTCGAAAAGTCAGTCTGCAACACAAGAGGGAGGGAGGCGGCTGCGGGCAGCTGGACCAGGCCTTCCCCTCCCTGCAGGTCCCGGAGCCAGGCAGCACGCCTGCAGCAGCACTGAGAAGCCCGTCCCTAGATTCTAGCCACGACAGACACTGCAGGAAGCTCAAAAATATCCAAGCCAACATTAAGCTCGCGATCCCGGAATGCGATTCCCCAAACAGAGCCATGGCACAGGGTCACCTGAGCCTGAGGGGTCACTGTGACTGACGGGGAGGTGGCAGAGCTCACCATCTGAATTATGTCCTCTAACTTCACGTGGATGTCGTCCTGATCCTCCTGGGACAGCGCCCTACAAAGAATCAAAATAGCCTAGATCAAGGGTGGCAAACCCACAGCACAAGTGCCACAGCAGGGTGATTTTATCACTGAAAGCTCAAAGGGGTTTGCCATCACTGGGCTAGATGCAGAAAAGAAAACCCTCATTTCTTAGGAAAGAGAATGCAGGTGTTTCCCAGGGTGGGAGGAAGTAGGGCCTCAGGCCTGGGAGGGAGCGAGGTTGTGGGATGCAGTAGGGACTGAACTTGGGGGAGAGACTGACTGTGAGATAGTGGAAGGTGAGCAGGGAAGAGCAGGAGCGTGGACTTGGCCTCAGATGGAGATTTCAGAGCCAGCTGTCAGAGGGAGGCTGGGGGGTCGGTGTGCTGTCCTGTAGGCCATCCGGAGAGGAATCCCGGCCCGGTCACAGGCCCAAGCACACATCCGCTCCCCAGTGCCTCCCCGACCCTCTGCAGTCACCACTTCTGGCCTAGACAGAGCGAGGCGTAGAGCACTTTCTGCGTGACAGGGCTGCCTTCTGCCGGCCACGCATGTACCCCACATGCCGTGTCGGTCAGCCTCAGTAAACTGTTTTCCGGACAAATGGTGAATGAAGGAACACCTAATTTGTAATAAATAATGTTCATAAATTAACACCTAAGATACCGGCTTCAAAGTGGGAGGCCATTTTCTGTCCAGCAGAAGTTCAGAGTCCAGGAGAAGCACACTAAGAAGACATCCAACTTTACACCCTGCAGTTCGGGCCAGTATTGTATGTGTGCGTGTGTGCGTGTGTGCGTGTGCGTGTGCGTGTGTGTGTGTGTGTGTGTACGCGCACGCACTGGGGACTGAACTCAGGGCCTTCACACTGAACCACATCCCCGGGCCTTTTTTATTTTTATTTCAAGACAGGATCTTGCTCAGTTGCCCTAGATAGGTTCAAACTTGAGATTCTCCTGTCTCAGCCTCCCAGGATCCTGGGATTGCAGGCATAAGCCACCATGGCCAAGCATTTTAGTTTCCCCAAAGTTCCGAGCACATATTAAAACACACAAGCAGTCCAAACCAGGTAGCCTCTCTGCTCTGGAGGTCAGCCGGGCTGGTCCCTCAGAGCCCACGGAGAAGGCACGTCCTTTGCCCCTCAAGCTCTGAGAGGCTGCCTGCCTTGCTTGGCTCAAGGCCTCTGGAGAAACGCAGTTTTAAATGAAGCAAGGAAGCTGGGCACGGTGGTGTGCGCCTGTAATCTCAGCACTCTGGAAGGCTGAGACAGGAAGACTGCAATTTCAAGCTCGGCCTGGGCATTATGGCAATTTAGAAAGATCTTGTCTCAAAATAAAAATAAAAAATAAAAAGTAGCCCAGTGTGGAGCCTGTCCAATGCCCCCAAAAAGAAGGAGAAAAAGGAGGAGGAGGAGGAGCAGGAGGAGGAGCAGGAGGAGGAGCGGGAGGAGGAGGGGGAGCAGGAGGGGGAGCAGGAGGAGGTGCAGGAGGAGGAGGGGAAGAGATGGAGATGGAGGTACAGATGCGATTTTCTGCCGTGCTCAGTGCTGGAGCAGCCCCGATCCCCAGCCCAGGTCAGCGAGATGGCTCACTGTGGTCCTGGCCCTCGGGGGGCAGGGGCAGCTCTGACACACAGTGCCCGGACCCAGATGGTCCCTGCCCAGCAGCGTTCCTGCCTCTGCTTCCCCAGGAGGACGCTGACCGGCAGACCCTGCTCCTCTTATGCCTGTCGTCTCGGGACGGAGAGTCCCTTCCCGGTGAAGGGCACAGCAGGTTACACACGACTGTCCCCAAGGCCCACTCGCTCACACGCGGGCCACGCACGGGGACATGCAGGACCCTTTCCCAGAGGGTCCTCGGCCTTCCCACGACAGTTTGCAGAGGGAGGACACGGCCCTGTGACCACGTGCGATGCAGATCAGGGGTTCCAGGGCCTGGCTGTACCCAGGACCTGAGCTCCGCCTCCCCTCATGGCTCCCCACATCCGTCCACCTTCACACCCACTCGGTCACACGCTGGTGCCGTCGGGCAGGCGGTCTGGCATCTCCTGTCTTCTTGGGGCTTTGGGGCTCGGATGACCTTTGTGTGAGGCCCAGGAAGTTAATGACTTTAACTCTGAAGCATATTAGGTGTCTACCAAGCATCCCTATAGGAGTATCTTCTGGAGATAGCTAGCTGCACAGCGTTGGAGAGATGGTGTTTTAGAAACGTCCTGAGCAGAGGTTTTCAGCACAAACCAGGTGACAGACTATGTAGAGTGACAATGTGGATTCACCAGTAAGGCCAAAACCCGAGATGCTGAGGCAGGCTGCTCACCACAGACAGCTTCTGTTTTAACCCAGGTTCGCTGTTTACATCCCGGGTTGTATGACAGAGGCACACAGCTCCCCATGTCAGGCCACATTTAACTACATGAGGAGTCACTTGTAGGAAAATGGATGCACTGTGAGGCCAGTGTTCAGTGAAATAAATCCGACAGCTTAAATATCAATGAAAGTATAAGTAAACTAAAGAGCAAAGTAAATGACAGATAATAGGAAACAGGGCATGTGGTCCTGACTGCAAACCCGGACTCACACAAGACTTAGAGGGCAGGGACTGAACGACGGTCACTCTTCCCTCCCAAGGCATCACCTGTGCTCCCAGGCAGCAGGTGCACGCCGGTCCCTTCACAGCTGGCCACCCCACCCCTGGTCCAGCCATGGAGGACAGATTTGCTCCTCCCCTCCTGGCTACCTTGGGGTTGTGGCAAACACGCCAGGGTCTGGGGTCCCCTGTCCCCACATCTACAAGCAGTGTCATCAATTTAGTAACTGCGCATTTGCAGTGTGACACCAAATAGGTAAAAGGAAATGGGACTATAAAGTTCTGGGCCTAGGAAGGTCCTCCTTCAACTCTACAACTAAAGGCTGTCTAAAACCAGAGGGAGAGCAGCTGCCCCGGCCTGGTGTTGGTCTGCTCTCTGCATGGGCAGCAGGAACATGGCCTTGGGCCCCGCAGCTCGAGGGCTGAAACTCTCTCCTAAGAGCTCCCAGGGCTTCTGATTCCCTCCCAGAATCACTGTCCTGCACCACGGAGGGTCATGTGGTTGTCACTACAGCCTGTGATGTAGGCCCCGCCAGCCCCAAGGTAGAGGTGAGAAACCTGGCGGCTCAGCCAAGACTTAGGCCCAGGACACCCTGCAAGGGTCAGCACCGGGGCTGCTCAGGGTGGCGCTGCAGGGCTGTCTGCCCACTAGATGGCCGCTCCCGCTTCTGCGTCCTGGGTCCCTTGGCAGACAGAGCCGGCACACTGCAGGCCCAATGAGGACAAAGAGTTGGGTGGTGGGCAGGACTCATCCTAGGCCCTGATCTCAGCTGGCTGTTTTCTGGGGTCACCTCTTGGCGCAGAGGGAAATCTCCCCGGGGGCGGGGGGGTTAGGGAAGCCTGGCGAAGTCCTGCTGCACCAGCCAATCCTCAGGCCCCCGTGTCCCTGACGGCTACTTAGTCAGATGTGCATAAGGCACAAACTTCCGGAATGTAGTTTTTAAACATTAGTGTTTTTAGATGCAAAGAGCATACCACATTGTTCCATGAAAAGGAACAATGATTGCTCCCACTCATAAGCGCTCGCCCACCGAAACCAGCCTCTACCTTAATCCATATTTATCACTTTAACGTCTGAAAATAGACTCAGCTGTGAAACTCTGGACTCAATGAGATATCTTCATGGAATGGAAAAGCAGGGAAGACTCTTCACAGCTCCCTGGGAATGCCCTAATGGGACTTCACCAACTTGGTGGCTTCTAGTGACAGACTGCCTTGCCTCACAGCTCTGCAGAGTCGGAGATCAGGGTGTCAGCAGGGCCACACAGCTTCTGAAATCTGCAGGGGGCCCTTCTGCTACAGCTGAGACCTAAAGTGTCCCCAAAGTCTTAAGTGCATGGGCAGTGACTGGATCACGGGGCCCTGTACTCATCAGTGGATGACTTCATTGATGACTCCATGCTGAAGGAGCGGTCAGGAGGTGGGCCTGGTTGGAGCCATGACCTGGAAGAGTGTGTTCCTGTCCCCGGTCCTCCCCTCTCTCTGCTTCCTGGCCCCCATGATGTGAGCAGCTTTCCTCTGCCACAACTTTTCACTGTGGTGTTTCTGCCACGGAGCCAACCATGGATTGAACCCACTGAAACCATGAGCCAAATGAACCTCCCCTCCTTTAAACTGCAGGTGTCTGGTGTTGTGTCCCAGTGACAGGGAAGAGACTGATACACGGTCTCTGCCTTTCCTAGCTTTAGACTGCCTGCCAGGAAGCCAGTGTCTGTGTTTTACTGTCCCAGCCTCTGCCCCCATCTTCACATGACACTCTGTGTCTCTATCTTCCAAGACCTTCCTCTTCCAGGTTGCCAGCCATATTTGATTAGGGGTCCACCCTACTCCAGTCTGACCCCAACTTAACTGATTCCATCTGCAGTGGTCTCATCTCCAGAGAAGGTTGCATTTCAGGGACAGGAGGTTAGGACTTCAACATAACTTTTTTGGGAGGGAGACATGAGTCGACCTGTAACAGTCCCTACACCAGGGCATGGTGTGGCCATGGTAGCTCTAGCTAATGGGGACAAAGAATGACTTATTGGCCAGTGGCTAAAACAGTACAATCCAGAGGAGACGTTGTGGCCAGGCGTGGAAGAAAGAAGATTTCTTCCAGAGATTGCAGTGCAGAGGAAATGAGAAGCAGAATGGTAGAAGAGCGCCAGGCCTCAGGACACAGAGGCAGGCTTCCCATTCTCAAGCAGGGCTAGGAGCACACAGCACTGGCAGCCGCTCTCTCATGAGGAGGGGACTAGGAAGACATCCACCCACTAGCTCAGGAAGCCACAGGAAGCCGTCACCCACCTGGGTGCCGGGTGACAACTGAGGCCCTCACCTCAGGATGTTTGCCGTGGCTTTCCTCTCCTGGGGGAGCAGGTCTGGGTCTCGCAAAACTTCTTCTAGCAGATTCAGCACATTCATCTTTAGTTCACTGTTGAGTTCAAAATCCTATAAAGTAGAATGAATCTTTTAAAAACATTACTTTCTAAAAGTTCTTGCTCTGTGACTGGGACACCATTCCTCGTGACAAGCTCTGGAAGGTGGACACAGAGAGTAACGTGTGGTACAGAGTGTGGCAGAGTCAGCCTAGAGCCACTCCCAGCCCCAGAGCCTGGCTGAGGGGCTGGGATGGGCCCAGCTGCTGGGGTTTCTGACTGCATCCCCAAGCAATGTCCATGTGCAGGCTGAGATTTCCTATTCTTGGGGCAACATTTGGCAGGGTCAAAGGCCCAAACCATTATATTATTAACTTATAAATTCTTATAATAACCTTTTAAGTAATTTTGTTTGTTTGTTTTTGGTACCGGAGATCGAACTCGGGTCCTTGTGCTTGTGCAGCAGGCAGCGAAACCACTGTGCTAAATCCCCGGCCCGACTTTAAGTAATTTTGAACCATAGATGTTCTGAATTCTTTTAAATGGCTGCCAAGAACATTGTTAAGTGCAATGAATCAGATAAAAAGGAAACAGCACAATTTTACTCTATCACATCAGTGAGGGGCAGGATGACCATAACGTCACAAATTATAGACAGTGCAAAAGTCTAACCTACTTTCAGTTGAGTATTTTTACTGTCAATTTGAATCAAGTATTTTATCAGTTTGATGGCAAATTGCACCCTAATTCTTAATATTTCATGTCCACTGTTTGACAATAGTATCCTTTCCTGGGGATTATATAAGAGACACTGGGCTTTGCTGGGGGGCAACACGAATGTTAGTATCTCTTATCAATCCCGGGGCTTCCGATAATATGCCTCAGTCAGAAGACCTGACACCCACAACTTATGGGAGGAGAGGTTTATGGTGGTTCACGGTTCAGTCCATGGCCCGCTGGCTCCAGGCAGGAGGCCTGGCAGAGGGGCCTGGTGGAGGACAGCTGCTCATGGCATGGCAGGCAGGAAGCAGTGAGAGGGAGGGGCCAAGGAGGAGACAGACCCTTCCAGGCCAGGCCCCAGGGACCGCCTCTTCTGACACAAAGCCAGCTAGAGCACCCCCACAGTCCAATCATCTTCCAGCTCCTCTACAAGGCCAGGAGGCTTTGGGGGGCATCCAGAAAGACACCTTAACAATGTGCTCCTAAAAGTTCACCTGTGTTGCCTAACACCTTCTTGGTGTTAATTTTCCTTTTAAAATGCATGCAAGTAGAAGACAGTAATCTGCTGCTGCTCCCCTCTCCCCATTTCAAGGCGAAGGGCACAGTTTTGCAAGGAGCTAATGATCTCCCCTCCCTGGGTCTGTCTGCACTACCAAAGGATTACTGGGCCAGGGCGAGTCTATTTCCTTAATGAATTTCTGATGTACATTAGGGAGACAACCGAGTCCTGGTGTAGCTCATAGAGTCTCTAATGATGCACATAATCTGATTATCATAAACCTCAGATTAAGGTGAAGGGCATCGGGCTGCTGTCGGGCCTTGCTGAGGCTTAATTAGTATTTTAATCAACAAGCATCTCCGGGCACCTGCTGAGTTCCATCCTGGGCTCCACAGGGGTGCGGGAAGGCTTGGGGACAGGGGAAGGTTCTCCTAAGGAAAGCAGAGGGAGGTTTATTATCCTGACCTCCCGGAGGACTGCCTGGGGAGGGCCTGGGGAGGACTCTGTGATGTGATGTCTGTCAGACTCTACTGAGGGAGGCTGCTGGCTAGGGACAGCGGGACACCCGCCCTGCTGCCCAGTCAGCACCTCATGTTCTCTATGCATTTCCAGGGGTGGGGAGCGACCTCCCGGGTGTGGCCATAGCTCCTCCTCCCCAAGCCCAGCAGCAGATGCCCTTCTGAGGGCTGGGACCTCGGGGGCCCACTGAGGCCCAGAGGAGCTGACTGCGGGGGTGGAGCTCAGACCCTGGAGGGGATGGTGTGTGGGAGGAGGACACCTCTGCCCTCCGGCTCCTGTCTCCTGTGCACAGGAACCACAGGCCACAAGTTCAAATGGGGGTTCTGATTCCCCGGGCGTGGAGTGGTTCTGGGCTCCTGTGTCTCACAGTGAGCTGTCTCTGGGGTCCAGGGCCGTGTTCTGGGCAGTGAGGCTGGCACGGCCTTTGTTTTTTTAAAGTCACACAATAAACAACCCCTCAGAAAACAAGCAAACAAAACCTGAACCCTCCGATAAATGCATGTAAAATACAAATTGGTGATTCAAAGTCTCTTTTAAAACTGTAAGGTGTAATCTGACTATCCTGTGTTTTATTACACAGGACGCATTTCCGGAGCCCCTCAGAATCCTCAGCCTCCATTCAAACACACTCATCCCGCGTCCCTGCCACCCCCTGCAGCAGCTCTGGAGTCCTCTAAGTGTCTTTATGAAGGGTGGTAAGAAACGTGGTGACTGCTGCTGCCCAGCGTCATCCAACAGAAAGGTAGCTCGTCAAAGCTCGAGGCTGTGCCCTCATCCCCCTTAGTTGTCGGATCCCACACCGGGCAGCTTCTAGCTCTGCCCCAAAGCCCACATGACCACAACAGGGCAATGCTTTGAATGGATTTGGAACACAGAAGCCAGCACAAGGGACCCACAACACTCAGGAGAGAGGACTCCAGAGCTGCTTCAGAAAATAGCAAGGGCATGGGACGGGTGTGTTCAAAGCAAGAGGACTGTGAGGGGATTCGTGGTACTATGTCTTTTCCTATAAATAAAGATTCAAAAATTTTTACAATGTTCACCTTATTTTCCGATCACACCTTGTATAGCTGTTCCTCAGCAGAAAAAAATCTGAGGCCGGAAAAGACATTTGCCGCTTGCTCCGGGGGTAACCTGCTCTGCGTGCAGTACTTCCTACTGAGACGCATCTGTAAGTGGATGCTAACGGGGTCGGGTGCCCTGGGCCCCAGTGGGTTCACAGCAGAGACGGCCAGGAGGTGGCACTGTGGGCCGGGCCATGGGTGCGTGGCCTGGGTGGGAGACTGGGCCGGCAGGTGCTGTGAAGTCACCAGGAAACCAGTGAGCTCAGCTTGTCTCCAGTCCAGGGAGCCGGCTGAGGTCACAGAGGTTGGCAAAAGAAAGCACCTCACCTTCAGGGTGAGGGTGCAGAAAACGTGAGATGAGCTGCTAGCAAAGAGCGAGGATGGTCACTTTTCCCTGCAGGTGCCGTGACTGCTGGACAATCACAGCCCTAACTATCACTGAACCACCTGCCCGGATTCAGCCCTCGGGCAGCCCTTTCCCACTCCACCCGTGGGACATCCAGGTACAGAGCGCCCACGTCCGACCCAGGCTTGCAGGCGGCCAGCAGCAGACCTCCAGGCCTCCAAGCAGGTGGCTTGAGCCTCTATCCGCTGGGCTGCTGGCACTGCCGGAGTACGGCTGGCCTGGGGAGCAGTCGGGGGCAGTTTCACTCCTGGACCCAGATCCGCGATCTGGGAGATCGATGAGACTCCATCACACAAGGCGAGGGTGCTCGGGGCAGCGACAGGCCGGACTACCCAGCATGTTCAAACCACTACCTGCCGGCACCTTGGCTATGCTGGAAACCACTCTCTTCCGGGGGAGCAAGGTAACGGTCAGGAGAAGACTGCCCAGCCCCAGGACACCAGCAACTTGGGGAATTCGGACCAACACGCACGGTTTGGGGATAAAGAGAACTAGGGGAGGGGTTTTCTCAGTATCTAAGAGTGGCCACAGTCAGAGAGGACGAGGAAAGCAAAAGTAAGTGGAGTGGAGGAAACCCACACAAATAACACATAAATCTGGAACCAAGGGGTCCTAAAGGAGCTGAGCCATGGTAGGTTCCACATAGGAGACAGGAATTTAACTTTCAAAAACCTGAGAAGCATGCTATGTGTGCTGTCTTCCTTGACTCCACAAAATGGAGGCTGTAAACTGGTGTGGATTCAAGTCAGAGTCCGCCATTTTGTAACCCGAACAGAGGTGGCCATGCCAAGTGATGTCTCAGAGATAGGCCGGTCAGCCGCCACAGGTCGGGACAGACTCCTCTGGGCTCAGAGACACTGCTCCGCGCTGTGGTGGGGAAGCTGCCTGGAGCTTCCACCCAGCAGAGACGGTGCTGGCTGAGAGTGGGAGGGCCGCCCGTCATGCCCGCCCAGTCACCTTGGGTCCTCATCACACCTGAGGGACGACGACTCTGCACCAGGGCTTCCCCTGGAGATGCCACGAGGGCAGGCTCTTCCTGGACTTCCCACGGCCTGAGCACAAAAGTGTCATCAGTGCTTCTTACTCACACTTGGAATAAGAACATCCGAGTTGAAAAACCTAAGGAAGAGCGGTAAGTTTGGCCTTAAATCCTACAAAGCAATACCAGAGAAATTCTAGATGGTCCAGACGCGTTTACCATTTACCAGTCGCTCATTACTCAACGCACTGTTGAAACTACAGAGACAGAGTAAGCAGGACATGGCTCCCTTGTCTAGGAGCTCCTACTTCAGGTAGTAAGCTCTGGACAGAATTCACCTCCACATTTGGTAGGCATAGTGCCTTGGTCCTGGCCGACCTGCAGGTATCTGTTGAATGAATGAGAAAAGGAACACGGGAAGACACCTGGAGGTAAACAGTGAAGGAGATTCCTAAAAGCACACTGCCCAGCCGTGCCTCTTCTGGGGACCTCCCTCAAAGAGCTGCAGACTCCATACTACAGTGACCGACGCTGCCCAAGTTTATAGCAGTCCAATTTGCCACAGCTAAATCTTGGAAGCAGCCTGTGTGTCCATCAACAGATGAGTGGATAAAGAAAACGTGGCATTTACACACCATGGAGCACTACTGTGCCATACAGAAGGATAAACTTGAGTCATCTGTAGGAGAATGGATGCACCTTGAGACCATCATGCTAAGAGAAACAAACCAGAAACACGAGCTGAAATACTGCATGGTTTCTCTTATACAGGAAACCCAAACTGTAAGTAATTCAGAGGACAAAGTAAGGGAGAGAAGGCAGGAAATGGGGTGGTGAAGGAGAGTGAAAATGATCCAGATGCTGTGTGTGCATGTACCAATCTTCA